TGTCTGGAAAGAAGTTGCGGAGAATTTTAACTCGCTTAACCCTGGCCAGAAACCGCGCAAACCTAATCAGTTGAAGAGATCTTTGGATCACATAAAACGACGGTAAGTTTCTAGTTAAGTTTCTTTCAGTTGCACACACTAAATTTAACACCTTGTTATTAGGAACATCACACCAGTTTAGTTCAGAGGCGAATCTGGGTACCTGATGCAATACTAGGGAAAAGACATGGAAATACTAACTCAGTATACCAGGGTCTTAGGTTATATGTGTATTTATGTTTAAGAATAATGGAAATTACTCTCATTTGCACTATATTAAGCCTGCCCATCATGGTTTCAAGGCCTACAGTCGATATATTGTGTCTTAAAACAATACTGTGTTTAGCAAGACAATGAATAGTAGTTCAAAGCACATATTACAAATCAGGAAGTGTTTTTGAAAGAAGATGCATCTAATAAATCCTTGGCTATAAATGTTACAGTCTGAAGAATCATTAATTACAGACCACTATTAGCCAGATTATTGTCTGCTTCGAGAAAAAGTTGCCAAAAGAAATTGATTGATACCTTTTTAAAATGAGTCAATAGTTTATATCTTAACTTCAAATGTAAAAGCTTTGCTTTTTTTCTTCCAGTGTGAAGGAGGAACAGTCTAAGTACCGACGCCGAGTCCTTGCCAATGAAGGAGGTCGCCGCCAGACCCCCAAAATTTACAGAGGCGATGATGTCAGCAATGGAGATCATGGGGCAGGAATTATCAATTAATGACATCTCATTTGTTTCTGCTACGATGCCCAATGCAAATAAAGATGGCCCTACCCATATGGCTACTACAGGTAGGATAATGCAACTTAGGAATTTGATTTACAGTTTTTACCCACGTAAAACAAATATGTTGAGTGTGATGATCATCAAAAGTGTATATGTAAATTAATTTCCATTAAAAGCCTATAATCTAAATGCTTTTGAAACCAAGTTTGTTGCTATTAGTATGCTCGTGCTATTTTTTTCATGTGTAATCAAAATATAATTTCAGAACTCGAGCCTGAATCCAGTTCCACCCCTGCTGTCAACACCACTGATGCTGTCCCCTCAAATTCAGCCTCCACCTCTCCTGTTGTACCTTCCACGCCTTCCCCATCACTCGAGTTTTCTGCACCACATGTTCCATCTACATCTTCCATACCTATGGTACCTGGCCCTTCACGTCCAAACAAATCCTCTTCTGGACATCCTGCTCAGCACCCCAACAGGCAAAGTGACCGAGACCCTGGGAAGAAGAAAAGTCTGCAGGAGTGTTATCAGATTGCGCAAGAAAGCCAAGATGACTGGCTGCAGACAAAGAAGAGGTTGTTGGAGGCGGAACACCAGGAGAAGATGAAACTGTATGAGAAGGCAGGAAGACTGATCGACAGTGTTCAGCAGCACATAGACTCCTTAGGCCATTCGTTTTCCCTCTTCCTTGCAGCAGGCCAGAAAGCCTACGCTGAGATGGCGGAGTCATACAAGCGTACGGCTGAGAAAAAGTGATATTTTGTGTGTCATTTATTATGGGTGTAGGAAGCCATAGTTTTATATGAGAAAGAAAAGAGTGTGGTTATATATATTAGAATGATTGGGTTCCTTTTCAATATTGTAAAGATGAATATGATGACATACATCTCAAAAGAAATAAAAATAATTAATAATGCTAGTGTTTCATTTAACAAACCAAAACACATACTTGGGTTTACAATCTAGATTTTCGTGAACAAGAATTGCTTTGATAAAAACATTGTGAGAAAAATAGCAAATAACAATGTACAACCTAGCACCCAATCAAAGATTCAATTTTTTTTTTTTTTTCAGTTATGGCAGCAATATTGTGCAAAACAGTACATAACATGTCTGCAGTGATATTGAGGACACCAAATGCTCTCTCTGTCACATCCCTTGTTTTTATATGAGAACCATTATACTTCCTCCGGTCCACAGGTCGTAGATTAAGAATAGAAGTCGAGATGCAAGACCTTTATTGCCCTTAGGTTTTCTCATTTCAAAGATTCATTTAAAATACTTGCATCATGAACACTATTAGCCCAGTTATCAAGTACATTTTAAACTTAAAATTGTCCATCTTCTAGATTTGGGAAGTTGCGTTTTAGTGCTAATTCTATCTTCTGACAGAAGTTTGCAATGCACCTGTTGATACATGGTTCAGAAAATCTAAACAATCTGAAGACATCCCGGCGCCATGTACCACAGGGTAATAGATAAAATATCAAATATTTATTATAGTTTTTGTAACTTCATTTGGCCATTTAAGGAGTGTTAATAGATATTTTATAATGAATCACGTGTGAAACTGGTGTAAGATTTTAAAAAAAGGTATAATTTTAAGCACAAAAGAGCCAATAAAACGTAATACAATTGACATCAAAATAGGACAAGTAGTTGTCATTTTATGTATTCAGCAATGGATCGTGCATGTGTGTTGACGATATGGCAAGTTCAATGGACAGGTTGGCTCATTTGGGCTTATGAAATTATGGAGATGCTTCAAGTGATATGAAATTGATAAAACATTAAAACCCAGCTTCCCAGGATATACACATCGTCATAGACCCGGAGAAAGGTCATTAATCTCGAAGAGTGAGGAGGATGCCTTCACATTATAGGCAGTATGCAATATAATCATACACAGGTTTGACATTGATATTAGGCTTTATCTGTTGCATGAAATACTTGCAATTATGTTAAGATAACAATGACAATAATAATAGGAATGTGACACATTAACAACAAAGCTCATAGATGTTATTCCATAGATTTTTTTGTTGGCTAAGATATTGTGGGGTAACCTCCAGGTAGCAGCATTGGAAAAGAGGTTTGTAACAGCGTGCGATTTAGAGTGCCAGACAACTCTTTACAGCCTAAATGGGGCTGGAGTAAATGCCACAGTGCTACAGAACCCGACCACATTCAGGTGTATAGTTGGACCACTTCCACATTTACTTGTAAGGTATTAAACTCTTGACACTGGAGTTACTCAAAACACTTGACTTGATTAAATGGTTTTAAGCATGTATATTGCCAGACTAAGAGGCAGAGACTTACAAGAGTCGATAAAGTAGCACTACAACTGGGATATCAAGTCAAGAAATTTTGCAGATGACTTGGCCAGCATACACAACCCTTTGACAAAATTCTTTCCCTTAAGAACTTTTTGGTGGGTGGCATTGAACAGGAGTGGGATCCTGGTGAAAATTATCAATACACAATTAGCAGCAAGCAGAAGAGGCATCAGGTTCAAAGGATCTCAAAAAACAGCAGGGAAAAAGAACATTTGATGCTGCAGAAGGTAAATGGAGACAGGGTACTGGTCTTCAGAAGGGCAAGTCCATCAGGCCTTTCTAGTCACCACCTTTATGGAGGAGCATTATGAGGTCCTAGTGTTGAAACGGAGCAATATGTAGACTGTTGCAGATTTTGAAATATAGCCCACTGAAGGGAGGTAGGAGATCCTTCTGGAATGTTAAGTATCTTTGTGTGATGCAGTAATGCTGTGGAGTAAAGTGATTAGGTGAGAAATGTATGTATTTCCTCCTCCCCCCTTATGTTGTTGTACTTGACCTTTTTTCAAGCAATAGGCCTATAATGTCCTTTCCTCTTTCTACTGCCCATAATGCCCTCAGTAAGTTAAAGCAATGGGTATCCTACACAGGTTGAAGTTTTTTTTCCAGTGGTATGATTGCATTAGGTGGAATAATGCAATGACGCACTGATATAACAAAATAATCTTTTCTTACCAGGACTCAAATCTCATGCGGTCGTGTGAAGTGGTAGAAATTTGAGTCATGGTCAAGGGGGGTTGTTATTCGTTTATGAGTGGGTTTGATATAATCACTGGCATATTATTGCAGGTTCATATGTGGGTCATGTGGTCTACTGCATCAAACCGTTGAAGAAGTAAATGCCTGTGATGGCAACTCCTCTGTAGCAGAACAAAATACTGAAATGATAAAAAATGCAGGTGAGGAGTACATACAGTAAATAAATATAAAAGAAAAACCATAATGAAGGTTCAGTAAATATACTTCACTTTCATATTGTAGTGAGTTGCAAATTAATAGAATGTTATATACGATTTTAACTTTTCATAAACTGAATTAAGCAGCATTTCGTATTATACAATTTCCAGTTTTTAATGTGTCCCTAACTATATATGTATTTTGCTTCAAGGGCGCGGACGCCCCATCTGGCAAAAGCACCAAGTTGAGGCACTCCTCCTGCTGATGAAGGAAAACTTCCCAAGATTGATCGGAAATTCCTTAAGCAAAACCAAAGTCTATTCAGAAATAACTGCTACGTTACAAGAAGTTGTGAGTATGATACAAAGGCTGTAATGTTTATAGTACATCAAAGTACAGTGGTGAATTCATTTTTTGTAAATTTTTATTAGAGGAATCATGGTAAATGTTTGTAACAAAGTTTATATTTTTCAGTTCCAAGGCGTTACAAGAAAACAAGTTGAAAAGAAATGGAGATCTATGAAATATGGATACAGAACCTATCAAAGAACCAAGCTGAGAGGGGCAAGGGCCCTATTACCAAAGCACTTTAATCTGCTTCGCTCAATCTTAGGTGACACACTACCAGCAAGTATGCAGCCACAAGACAAAAGTTCTGGGGGTCCTACTACCAATCCTTCAGGAAATCACCAGGTTCCCTTGACATCAGAGAAAGAAGCAGTACAGCAGCTACAAACACCGCAAGAACCAAAAGAAGCACAAACTAATGAAGTTTCATGTGCTGCTGCCGAAGAGGGGCAGCTCTCCAGAACGAGAACTATTGACACACAAACGGAGCTATTGCGTGATTCATTGACAGAGTCTGTAAACATTTTGGTGGACAAGCTTGATCATTTATGGAGAAAACTGCCAAGCAAAATGAGGAAATTTTGATGTTACTCAAATCTAGAGAGGAAAGAGAAGCAAGGAATGATGCTCTGCGCGAAGAGTATAGGAAACAAAAACTTGAAATTTTAAAAGCAAGACATGAAAGGGGAACAGATATTTAACCAATGTACAAAGCAGGTGTTGTTTACATATTGTGATATAGCTTTGTGGTATAGTAATAAACCATCCCAGATGGGCTGAAAGTAACTCGCAACAGAAAGACTGGTGGTGGTGAGAAGACCAATCACACAGGCCATGTCTAACACTGATAGAGGGAAGTTCCTCCTTACTCGTGTCTGTTGTTAACTATGTCTTTTATTTTATTCACATATATGTCTCTGTGCCCTGTTGTGTGTGTGTGTGTGGTGTGTGTGTGTGTGTGTGTGTGTGTGTGTGTGTGTGTGTGTGTGTGTGTGTGTGTGTGTGTGTGTGTGTGTGTGTGTGTGTGTGTGTGTGTGTGTGTGTGTGGTGTGTGTGTGTGTTGTGTAAATTGAGTACGTACGGCCCCAGGTTCAAAAACGGGATTCGTGTTCGCTGACTCAGGTCTTTATGTACATTTATAGACCTTGTGCGTACATATTTTCCGAAGTCTATCAGTTGGTTGAGATGCCCGCAACCTACATCAGGGTTAATGCATAATGTTCTTTCTTGTTTGGGTTTGAATGTGATAGACAGTTCCCCTTGAGCATTGTGACTTCCTTGCCTCAAATCTCAACTTTTAGTTTTAGTAACTAGATTTGATTTTTTTCATATATGTGTATGTAATGCAATTTCTAGGATCAAGTGATTTGCTAAATTGAAAGTTGTGTTCTGTTTAGTGATAATTTAATATATAATTTAATATATGTTTTATGAGTTTTTTATGAAACACTTTGTTAATACTATGGCACATGTGTGTGTATTTCAGTATGTTACATTATTACTTTATGTTACAGGTCTATGCATATGTAACTGGATATTGACGTTGATAAATATTTTGTGCATCTGAGAGAGCGAGACATACAGGCAGGGGTGTGGGAGGGGGGAGGGGTGCAGGAGTGGAGGAAGCTGGGGTTTTCAGCGACTGGGCGAGCGTGGAAGCAGGATCAAGGTCTATATAAGTACAGGTCTCGGGGGGAGGTCTCGTCACTAAGGGTGGATATAGACCTTGAGCAGGATCAGATTTGCCGTTCTAATTATTCAATTGGTGTGATGCCACATAATGACTGATAACCCAAAGTGCTTCTTGGCAAATTAACTTCTTACTTAGTCGTTATCTTGTCCAGGAAGACTTACACAGGTATGGGTCCTGGGAGATCATGGAAGTTGAAATTTCCAGACCTGGAATGTGGAATTTTGTTTTTCTCGTTTGGAAAATCATGGAAATTTAGTATTTTTGTCATAATGAAATTAAAACTCTGATCTCTCTCTCTCTCTCTCTCTCTCTCTCTCTCTCTCTCTCTCTCTCTCTCTCTCTCTCTCTCTCTCTCTCTCTCTCTCTCTCTCTCTCTCTCTCTGTATATATATATATATATATATATATATATATATATATATATATATTATATATATATATTATATATATATATATGTGTGTGTGTGTGTGTGTGTGTGTGTGTGTGTGTTGTTGTGTGTGTGTGTGTGTGTGTGTTGTCTGTCGTGTGTATGAAATATGTGTGTGTATAAAGAATATTCTTAAGACAGAGTCTTTCAGAAATAGAAATCAAAAAATAAACTTCGGAAGATGATGTATCTGACATGAGAAATTGAAATACTACATAGCCTATAGTGGTTATCATGCTGATCCTTCATAACCTAGTCACTTGTGGTGTACACTAATTAATATATATTTGACAACCATTCAGTTTGGAATTACAGCCAGTGTACATTTGTAAATGGAAACGTGTATAGTGTAATATGCCCTTCAGATGTTCCAGGAAAAACTGTGGAAAGAGATTGAAAAATGCTAAAACTTTTCTCTGGAAAGTCATGAATTTTATGAAAAAGTGTACGAACCTTTCCCTCAATTTTTAAAATACTGAATCCGACCCCCCAACAGAATTATAATACTGTAAGAAGATGCGTTTTACTACTAAAGTAGAAATATGCTTCTCGTTTTTATTTTCATTTCATTGGACGTACAGGAAATATCACATACCTATGTTTTGCATTTGCCGTGCAACAATCATGGCTTATTTGCTATTTTTTTACAGACTCATATGTATATTTTTTTTAATTTTTATTTCATTTTTTTCTCTGATAGTTTATGTTATGTTCAAAGTAAGCTCACTTTCTTCGGCATGAGGTTCCCTGAAAACTTTTCCGCGCCAAATTTTAAGATTCGCCCAGCTGTTCATGCAACTTCGTCTTTACCGACAGAGAAGTAAAAAGGTCTCTTATGAAAATTTATTTAGTAACTTATATATGACCATTTATGGAGCATATACTTATATATAATATATTAATACATATTATGGTAGTTAATATAATTATATAAAATATATATAATAATATCTATATATAACTAATAATAATACGGAGTACATGTGGTATAAGAGTAGTTTATACAGAAAGCCATCCAGTT